TGGAGTGGGAGCGGGCAGCCTGGTCCTTCTCAGGAGCACTGCGGGGTGTGAAACACTGACCTTGGGGGTGGAAACCAGTGCTCACCCCACAACACCACGCAAACTCGCCCTGACATCTAGTCGCCAGAGGTAGGGGTGGGGGGCAGCTGTACCTAGGAGCCGGCTCCACAGCAATGGCAAAGTGGGGGCAGGTCCAGCCAAGAAACACAGTCACCAGGCAGGACGCCGGGCAGGGGCCATTGCAGATCCCCGATGCGTGGACCTGTCCTCCCCACCGTGGCCTCGGCTCTTCTTCCCGCGCAGGACACGTGGCCACGGCACGCCAGGCCCACCTCCTGGGACAGCTTCTGGCCACGCCCTGCACCCAGCCCCACTCCTCACTTCCTTGACCCCAACCCGAGAGCAAGGAGGTCCCTCACCTGCACCCTGAGACCAACAGACCCCGCAGAAAACACAGCCGCCCCCACAGGGACGATGGACGACACCAAGCTGGGTGCCCCGGGGTCCTGAGGACCACTGCCGAGTCCTCCCCTGGCACGGAGCCCTCTGCCCGCTCTGACAGGCAGCAGAGAAACAAACCAATCTGTCCTGGAAGAACCGTGGCCTGCGACCCGTGTCCTTCTACGAAGGACAGTCCTTGGAAGGGAGGACGGATGGCAAGACTGTGCCTCGCGCACTTTGGCCGTGTCATCGAGAGAGCAGACGGACATCATGCTCGGGAAAGCGGAGGGGCAGCGAGCGAGAGGGAGGCCCTTGACGAGATGGGTGGACACCGTGACTCCCACTGGGGGCTGGGGCACAACAGGAGTCGCGAGGGGCCATGGGAAGTCAGAGAGGAGGATCTCTGGCCTCGAAGGAAGGGCTGTCGCAAGAATCAATACAATAATGAACTCAATGGCTTCCATCACACACTGCATACTTAACCTCTGTGCCCTGGCCCAGCCATGGCCCTTAGCTGTCCCTGTGTTGTCCCAGGAGCTCAGGGGCGCAGTACGGGATGGATACGGCTGCACAGAGCTGCAGGGCTAGCCGCTTGGGCCGGGGACGTGGGGGCGCGGCAGGGCAGGGGGCTCACCGTCTGCTGCAGGTCCTGAATAATGATCCTGAGCACCAGGGTGTTGGCCTGGCTCTCCTCCGTCCTGGGCACGCCGGGCTTGGCTGACGTGGCTCGGATGGTGTCGTAGATGGTCTCCTCCCGGCAGCTGTCTGTCTCCGAGCCTGCCGAGTAGTCGGAGACGCTCTGGGCCGTCTCGTCCTCGCTGGACGTGGGGCTGCGAGACATGGCTGCCCTCTGTCAGTGGCGGCCGGCGCTGGAGAGAGGGGAGGAGATGAGATGTGGGTGTCAAAGCAGGGGACCCAGGGGCCGGAGAGGTCCCTGCCCTGGGGGCCCCAGGGCTCAGTGTCCTAGTGAGCCAGTGTAACTGCCGCTCAAAGCTTCAAAAACCATACTCACCGCCATTGAGTTGATGCCAACTCATAGCAACCCCGCAGGACAGGGCAGAACTGCCCCTGCGGGTTTCCAAGACAGTAACTCTTTATAGGGCAGAAAGCCTCATCTCGCCCCCAAGGAGGGACTGGTGGTCTACAGTCGGCCTTGTGATTAGCAGCCCAGCGGACAGCCACCACGTCACCAGTGCTGGGACCACCTACTCTCTCTCTCTGCCATCAAGTCTCTTATAGCGGCCCTAGAGGGCAGGCTAGACCTGCCCCTGTGCTTTCCAAGACCATCACTCCTACAGGCGTAGAAAGCCCAACTGTCTCCGAGGGTAGACTCCCTGGCGGCACAGTGCTTATGCATGGGGCTGTGACCCGCAAGGTCGGCAGTTTGAAACCAGCAGCTGGTTCTCGGGATAGAGATGGGGCTTCCTCTTCCCATGGAGAGCAACAGTCTCAGAAACCTGCAAGGGCGCTCAGCCCTGCCCTCTGGGGTCACGATGGAGCAGCCTAGACTAGAGGCAGCGAGTTTCTCCCGAGAGAGTCTGATGGTCTCAAACTGCTGACCTTGCAGTCAGCAACCCAGGTGTAAGCCCACCGCCGCCAAGGCTCGTTTGGAGGATCTTCAAGTTGGCTAGAGAAGCTCCGGTGGCGGAACTCTGGCCTTTCAAGCGGGCGGCCCGGGTGTCGTGCCCAGCCAAGCCCTCACCCGTCTGCTAGGGTGCTGAACCTGTTTCGGTAAAGCTTCCAGACGGCAGCTGAGAATCCATGTGAAAC